TATTTCACTATTTAGCTCTGACTGGCCTGGTACTCACTATGCAGACCAGGCTGGCCTTGAACTCACAGAGACCCACCTACCTCTGCTTCCTGAGTGCTGGGATTAAAGATACACACCTGGCTCCACCTTTGTTTTTTGAGAGAGGGAACCTGAAGCTCATGGGTTGGGCTAGGTTGGCTGACTAGTGAGATTCAGGGATCTGCTTTCTCCACCCCTAACGCCCTATTGCTAAAGTTACAGGAGCACACTGCCACCCTCTGATTTTTTTTTTTAATTGTTAATTCCTTTCTTGTTTTTTTCGCTTTTTGGGTTGTTTGTTTTTAAGATAGGGGCTCCCTATAGCCCCTGGAACTCATTATGTAGACCATGGAGGCCAGAATGAGTGTCAGATCCCTTAGAACTAGAGTTACAGATGGTTGTTAGCCATCATATGGGTGCTGGAAACTGAACGAGGTCCTCTGTAAGAGCAGACAGTGCTCTTAACCAGACAGGGCCATCAGGCAGGAGTAGTGCTCGGGGTACCTAAGACAGAAGGGCTGAGACGCAGGGAGTGTGCTAGGGAGACCTACAGCCCTCGTGACACTTGAGTTGTGAGAAGGAGCATCTCATTTTTCTGTTTCCTGTTCCTCCCCTGGGCTTGGCATGTAAGATCCTGGTTACTTGATGTTATAAGTGAATGTTATAAATGAATGAATGCATACTAGACCATAAAGGTAGCCCCTAGCCCCATTTTGTTAATAAAATAACAAGCCCCTGGAGCACAGGGGACATCCCAAAGTCACACAAGTGACTGGGGTAAGGTTGACCAGTTAGCTATTCAAAACCCTGATCTGTGTCAAGTTCATTCTCTACCTCTTTATTTCAGGGCCCCACTGGAAGACCCGGACTTCCGGTAAGTAACCTATTTCTTCCTCTGCTTACACATCTCTGGGTGAGGTCTCTCTCTCTCTCTCTCTCTCTCTCTCTCTCTCTCTCACACACACACACACACACACACACACACACACACACAGAGGCACTCTGGAGTCTAAATCTGTGGCTAAGCGTGAAGCCACTCCCAGGCTCTTCATGGCTCCGGCTCTTGGTACCCCTTCTAGGTCAGACAGGCAGATCCAGCAGCAGAATCCCAACATGGAAGCTGAAGTCCAAGGCAGATAGTTCTCTGAGGGGGGCCAGAGGGGCTGCCCTGGGTCATTCCTATCCTCCTGCATACCTGATGGCATTCAAACCATTGTCTCAGTCCTCCCGAGCCCTCCAGTGACAGGGTGGACTCAAAACTTTTGCCCCTCTACCTTACATGTTGTTATTTTTGAATCCTAGAAAGTCTGTGCCAAGTAACCATGAGAACTTCAGGACAAAAGTAGATAGAAATTGTGTGGATAGTCACATCTTCTTGAAGCCTTATCAGGTGCCGCACACTCTGACCATTCCCCAGCCTTGACTGGTCAATAACTGAGAGGCAGAAATATAACTCTAGAGAAGAGAGTATTCACAAATCCATTTTAGAGATGAAGAAACTAAGACTCCAAGAGGTGAAATGCATTGCCCAACCTGTCCAAGCCCAGGGTTGTCACATGTTGATCACTGCAATTTCTTGTAGCTGGTGCTTGACATTTGAGGGCATCATTAAAAGTCTTCTAAGACATTGTTCTGTGGTGTCTAGCTTGGATAAATAAGATAAGGACTGGATATGGATGCTGTGGGCCATAGGGCAGGGAGTGGTTCAGGCAAGATGCTGTAGCCAGCCAGAGGGCTGAGAAGGGGCATGGATTGGGTTCTGAGGCAGGGCATAACAGGGACCTAAGAGGGGAGAAGGGATGTAGGGTGGGGCTTAGAGAGGATGGCACCTGTCTGCTCTGTCTCTCTTTGCTCAAGGCCACATCCATTGGATTCCAGACCCTCCTAGACATGAATTATATTAGCCTGTTGACAAACCTAACAGTCTCTTGAATTCATGTCCAGCAGTGACTTTCTTAGTAAAGTGTACACAGAAGAAAGCTCACTCTGGAAAGCAAAAATTCTCCCAGTACAAGCAAGCCCCATGGCTCAGGAAGATGGGTGACTTGGTCCCATAAAATCTAAGCAGAGAAAACAGTCAGATGACTGAAAGGAACGTGGGCAGATTAGTTTTTTCTTACACTACCCACCTTTAAAAAGCATTTAGGGGGCAATTCACAGAGCAGGGGCTGCTGCCGAGTTTCCAGTCACTGGCCTTCCCAAGCCTGTCCCTAACCTGAGCATTTTATAGCCAGGACTGCAAAGAACATTACCCTTCAGAAAGAAAGGGAAAAGAATCCAAAACACATCCTGGAATATCATTCAAAAGCCAGAGAGTGAGTGGACCAAGAGGACGTCACAGCAGTAATAGGCACGGGCCTGGCCGTCCTCTGTGGAAAGAGTGGGTCTCAGATCCAAAGGCTAGAAGCCTGTTTAAGCTTCCATGTGAGGAACCTGGGGGTAATCCACAAGAAGGGCACCCATGTTAGCCCCTTTTTAGGAAATACAGAGCGTGGGGAGTGGGGAGGGTTAGGATGCAAATAGAACTTGCTTGCCGTGGCTATGTGGGCTTCAGTGCTAGTTGATGCCATTTTCTCCAACATTTACCAAAATGCCAGAAGCAGCATCTCATGGGGACTCCAGCAACCTCAAAGCTCTTAGTTCCCCTACTCAACAAGGTGCATACCCAGAGAGGCCAGGAAAACAGTTGCTGTTTATAACCAGCACTGTGCCATAATTATCAAGAGCAGAATGCTTTGCTCAAAGACACCCTGGATCCTGGTCATTAAGCCTGACAAGAACTGATAACATTCTCCTGGGAATCCACATGTGTCTTGGGATGCAGCTTATTGCATTTTTGCCTCTACAGGGTCAGCAGATATAGAGTCACCCCAGAAACACACACACATGCCAGGAGAATGTCAGAATACAGTCCTCTTCTACCCAGAAAGGCCGGACAAACATCATCTCACCTTCTTCACCCAAGTGCTTTCCATCCTTCCAGGCCCCACCCCAGACTTTTATGATGTCTGCATGCCTATGATTGAAAAAAAAAAATGTTTTCTACTGAAAGGGGGAGGAACAGAACTTAGTAAGCAGATTTCCAGAGTGAGAGGATGTAACCCCTGGCTACAAAACAAAGCTCCCTGTGAGCATTTGAAACACATGCTGGGGCTGAATCCACATGTGGAGGTGGCTGTGAGGAGAAGGGACAGGGCTGGACTAAAGAGGGGGAGAGGGAAAAGCAGGGGAGCCCGGGCATGGTGCCTCAGCTCTGGCAGACAGACCTAGGGAAGTGATTCGTCCTTCTGTCTTGTTCTGTGCCTGAAGTCAAGGATGATGAATCAGAGTACTATTCTGGCCATCACCGATGAGCAGCAAGGACACGAGTCTAAGGGAGGAAAGGCCATGGAGACACAAAGAAACTGAGGCACAGGCAGGCTGTCAATCAGCCTCCTGCTCTAGTGCTCATTCTGCAACACCATGCTTGAATACAGGACGTTGTAGGGGTGGCCATTTATTTACATCGTCAGTGAGGCCTCCTGGGAAGTTCATCCACATCACCCATACGACACTTGGTGTCACTTGGGATATTGTCCCAGCTTCCCTTGCTGTCTGGCTATATACCCCAGCCAGGCACAAAGTACTCGGGTGGGACACACTGGCAGGTGGCAGCCACACTGATTGTTTCTACCTCCTTCATCAGGGGAACAAGGGCGCCATTGGGATGCCTGGACGTGTGGTGAGTTGGCCCTCGTAGCCCTGCTTGAGGGCCCATAGCTTGCTTCTCCATGCTGGCCTATCCTCCATGTGTGTTGAGCTGCCATCAGGGAGGGCCGGGGAAGAGGAGGAGAAGACAGTTCAATCCGGGATCCAGACCATACAGTATGGCTTCTAGCAGTTCATCATTACATAGGGTGTCAGCTACTGGGACAAACCGTGGTCTGAAAACACAACACAGTCAGATATTTCTAAAGACGGACCATATTGACCCAATCTTTTAGAAAATATTAAAACTGCTCTATTCGATTACAATTTACAATTTTTTAACTTCTTACTGGACTTAAATTTATAAATTAAAGTTTATCATAGGCGCACATATATAGGAAGAGACAGTATACATAGGATCTCACACAAATCTAGTGTTTCTGGCATCCACTAGGGGCTTGGGATGTGTCCTTGGAGAAGCAGGGAATAGATACTCTACAGAGCACTGCCATGGCAGGGGAAGGGAGATCCAGGAAGCACATGAATTTACAGGGTAATGGGGTGACTACGTGTCCTGAGCACCCCAGCCTACCCTGAGATTTACAGTTGCCCTGTAGCCATCCCCAATATAGCCACTGTTTCTATATAGTCTGCAGGTGTCTTCTATAGTATCTTCTGTAGATGGAGACACTCAGGGATTGTGAAAACAGGGCTTGGTTCCTGGCGGTACCCAGGTCTTCACCAAGGGACTAGGCACGAAAACATTTCATGTTCCCTGGTGAAAAGTAATCAAAGAGACAAAGGGAGATAAAAGTGGGGGGATGGGAAGGCTAACTCTAGGCAGCGAGGTCCCTGGCACCTTGGTCATCCTGTTAGCCTCAGGATGAGTGTCTCCAAGGACTAGAAAGACAGCAGCCTGAGGCAGTAAAGGGTGAGGCATACCTGCTTTAGGAGGTAGCCAGGGCTGGACATAGCCAGGACTGCCCTCCCCATCTGACTCCTAACTTCCTGCTGGCATCAGCCTCCACTTCCACTAGTCACCCTTCCCACATCATGCTGGCTTAGCCTGTGACTTTCGCTTCTGGGCTGGCGTTGGCCTTATTCATAGCTATGAATGTCTGTTTGAATTTGCATGACTGGTGAGGGCATGGACAGTGCACCCAAAACTTAACCAACCCTTGCAAGTGCTGACATCATGCTGGGCATTGAGCCAAGGGCCTCACACATCAGCTTGGCTGTCCTTGCAAGAACTGCATGAGGGGAAGTGCGATTTCTGCCTCCACTTTCCAGATGAGAAAACCGAGGCTCAGAAGGTAAATGTCTTTCACGTCATGCACTAGGAAGTGGGTGAGCAGAGACTTCAGTGAAGATAGCCAGGCTTCAAACTTGTACTTTTGATGTTGGCAAACACCCACAACATCACAGCTGAAAGGCTGACCTTGGACTGATGCCCCAGAGTTCAGGATAGGTACTTCATGCTATCTGTGAACTGGGATGCCCTCCTCCATAGTTGTGCCGGCTTGTTTCAATACTAGTCGATGCCATTTTTACCCAACATTTACTGAAATACCAGGTTCTTACAGGCTTTCCAGATGCGGCATCTCATGGGAGATCTCAAAGCTCTTGGTTACCGCACTCGACAAGGCTCATGCCCATAGAGGCCAGGAAAACAGTGGGTACTGATAACCAGCACTGTGCCATTCTTGAGCATTATGGGCCTGCTAAGGTCTGTCTGTGGTGTATGGAGCCTGGGAGTCTTGAGCCACTTTTATGAAACTTTCACACCAATTCCAGGCCAAAGCTCTACCTTCTCTGTTGTCTGCTCCATGGCTCTGCCTACTAGACACTGGGTCCGTGTGCCCTGTCACCAGGTCCTGACCAGACTTGAGATGTTATCCATCCATCCTTCCTCCAGGGACAGTGTTCTATATACCAGGTACAGCCTCCACCACAACTTTTGAGACCCCGTTTTAAGGGTAAAGATGCTCAAGTTTAATTTACCCAGGAAGAGGGTGGAGGTGGTTTTGTACTCAAACTTAGTGGTTTACAGTCATTGTGGGTAAGTGTCAGGAGTCTTTCCTCTGGGTGCAGCAGGAAGTTTCTCTAAGTGCAAAATGGTGCTTCCAGCACCTCCTTCCTGCCCTCCCTCTTCAGAGCTTCCTGTGTGATGGCAGTGGGGAGAAATGGGGGAGCCACAGGAAGCCTCTCACCTCTTGGGCAAAGCTCCTTCCCAGCCACTTTGCCCAAGCTATTTTAAATGTGGCAATGGCCCATTTGGCTGCCCACTAGGGGTCTTGGCTCCAGCCACTAGATAAGGACTAGGTGACCCATGACCAGTAGGTATGAAATTCCCGAGTCATTTTCATGCTTCACTAGAGGTGGTGCCACTGGACTGTTGGGAGTCAGAGAGATTGAGACTGCCCATCTACTGATGGCTGTGGTGACCATGGACCCTTGACTGGGTACCCAGCTTTCTCTGTAGTCCCACTCATCCTCTATCTTTGCAGTTTGTGTCCCCCACCTCCCACCCCAGAGGAGTGGGAGTACTTTTTGTAGTTACTAGGAATTGAATTTAGGGTCTTGAGCATGCTAGGCCAGCACCCTTGCCACTGAATTACATTCTCAGCCCTCTTTAGAGTTTTAATTTTGAAAGTCTCACTAAATTGCCTTAGTTTACCTTGAACTCATGCTATAGCTGGGGCAAGCCTTGAATTTGCAATCCTCCTGCTTCAGTCTCCCAAGTAGCTGGGATTAGAGGCCTGAGCCACTGGGGCCCCATAGCTGTCTTCTGCCCCCCTATGTCCCTCTGCCCTGCCCCCTTTCTATCTGATTATCCCTAATGGCTCCAGTCCTATCTAGCTTAGCAAAGTTTCATACTTTGTGCTCAGAGGGGCCTTTAAAACTGCTAGAGCTCACGAACACAGGACAGGCCTTGGGAAGTTCCCTAGTCTCACCCATGACCCTCTCTCTCTCTCTCTCTCTCTCTCTCTCTCTCTCTCTCTCTTTCACACACGCACGCACGCACGCACGCACGCATGCACACACACACACACACACACACACACACACACTTGGAAAGGCCCCCCCATTTCTTTCCTAGTAATCTATAACAGCTGCTGCGCTTGCTGACTTGCGTGTCTGGGCCTGTGTTTTGTTGTGTTGTGTTGTGTTTCTTATTTCATGGTGATTTCTTTTGTTCAGTTGCTGTGCCATTAACACGGATTCTTGTGTCAGTATCTGTCTCTCATCTTCTCTTTTTTCTCTCCCTTTCTCTTTCTCTTCCCTGCACCCTGTATTGTGTGGGGCTGCCTGCCCAGGGTGTCAAGGGTCAACCAGGAGAGAAGGTGAGTCTTTGTTACCTCCTCCACCCACCAGGAAGCTCTTGGCTGGGGCAAGACTCTTTTGAAAGGCCCCATCTCAACCCTCCGCTGCCACATGGGTCCTGAAGAGTGTGTGGCAGGCAACTCTGGCAGCCTCTTCCTAACAACTCCATGCCCTGGTACAGAGTCCTGGGATTCCTGGGCATGGCCCCAGCTGCCCCAGCTCAGTGGGTCTGCCTTGTTTGTCCGTAACCAGATGGGATGGGCCCCATCGCTCTGATTCCTGACTATGAATTGTCACCCATCCCCAAGGGAAGGAGACTAGCCCAGCACTGGAAATGCCCAGGGGGACCCCAGAATCAGAGAAGACCCTCCACCCAACTCTGGAAGCCAGAGGCCAGGGGTCTGTCCCAAAAGAGCAACCTCCTGGGTTCTGGAGATTTCAGAGCATAACCTGTCCAATCAGAGGAGAAAGTAAGGTCCATACAAGGACTGGGGCTAGCCTGAAGTCCACAGCAGCAGCCGTGAGCAGAGACAGAAGCTAGGCCCCTGGTGTCCAGCTTGTCAGTGTTTCTCATCTACATTGAGCAGTACTTGTGGGCCTTTTGTTTGTTTGTTTGTTTGGTTTTAAGGTTTTTTGTTTTTCTTTGTTTGGAGCAGAATCTTGCTGCGTAGCCCAAGCTGGCCTGAAACCTACAATGATCTTTCTGTGTCCTGCTTCTGCCTTCTGAGAATTAGGAGTATAAGCAGGAGTCTTCACAGGGTTTCTGCAACTCATGTCTCATCTTCAAAGTAGCAACAAATGGCAACAGTAATCACAGCTCCCATGTATCAGACATGCACTGTGCAGATATGGTTTTAAGTATTCTTGTTGCTGTTGGCTCAATTAACAGACAGCAGTTCCAGGGAAGCTTTAACGTTCCTGGATATATTAGGCACAGAGAGGGAAAGTCACAGTGTTCTGGTTTGTTTCTTCATTGCTGTGACAAAATACTTTAACCAATATCAATTTGGGGAGGAAAGGGTTTATTTTCTTTACATCTCCTGGGTCACAATTCATCAGGGAGTCCCAGGTAAGAACTCAGGGCAGGAACCTGAGGCAGGAGCTGGAGCACAGGCCATGGAGGAACACTGCTTGCTCTCTTGGCCCGTGTTCAACCTGCCTTCTTATACAAACAGGACAACCTGTCCAGGGGTGACACCACCCACAGTGGACTGAACCCTCCTACATCACTCAACAATCAAGAAGATGCCCCACAGACATGGCCACAGGCTAGTCCAGTGGAGGAAAGTCACCAGTTGAGGCTCCCTCTACCCAGGTGTGTCAAGTTGACAACTAAAGCTATCCAGCACACACAGGTCCCAGGTCATAAAGCTAGAAAATGGCAGAGCTGAAGAGGAGTCCTATGTGTGTAACACCGCAGTGCAGGACTTCTCCAAATGGAACAAGACTATTGGTCCCATCCTAGCAGGGGTTGTTTGAAATTGCCCAGGAACGATGCAATTGCTTTTCCTTGGACCATGCAATGCTTTAAAGCACTTTACAGTATTATACAATGAAATTCCCACATCCAGTCTATGTGGTAGGTGCTGCTTGCCCTGCCACAGATAAAGAAATGAACAGAGAAGTTGATTGACATGCCCAAGATCACGCAGCTGTTAAGGAGCAAGACTGGCCTTCAAACCATACGTTTTGACCCTAAACCATGATGCTATACCACTCCACACAAGTATAAGCAGTTACTGATTTGAAATCACCTGTAGCTGTGTGTGAGGCAGGGCATTTTACAAAAATGCATGTTCTCCCATTTTCCACAATGGCTACAGAACATTCTCAGCTCCCAGCTCTCAGTGGAGATGTGTGAGTTCAAAGAACTGTCATGGCTTGAATTCAGGGTCCTTAGGTTTTTTTATTCACCTCCTGCCTAAAGACAGGGAGATGCCTGGTGGGACCCACACCCTGTGTTTGTGTAGCTGCCCTCAGCCACCGGTGGTAACACTGAGAGCCCCCAACCTATGGAGCACTGAGCACTAGGTTCAACCTTCCATCCTGTTCTCTGGAGCATTCAAGATCGCTCTGTCTTTGGGCTCAGTATGGGGCAAGACACTGTTTAACAACTGTAGAATGAATAGTCAGGTGGGTACTTGGGGAGAGACATGGGGGGAAGGACCCGGGGGACTTTTGAGTAAGTCCCAAGGGTATGGAACACTATTGCTGAACCACACCCCTCCTCGAGTTTCCCTCTTGCCCCTCACTGCTGTGGATCCTACACTCTGTGCTTCCTGGGCCCACCTGGACCTGGAGTACATGTTCCTACCCATGTCTCTTCCTACCCGTTGCTTCCTGATTCCTTCTCAACCCCCCAGAGATGTTCCAGTCACCCACCCCCATTTCCTACTGATCTCTACATCTCTGGCTTCTCCTTGGTCTGTGGGATTGGCATCCCACCTCCTACCAACTCCCCCCCAATCTCCTTTCCCTCTCCTTCTCTGCTTCTGCCCCACACTGCCACCTTCCTTCTCTCTCCCCACAGGGTGCCCCTGGAGATGCAGGCATGTCCATCATCGGTCCTCGAGGCCCCCCTGTAAGTCCTTGCTGTTCTCTTTTGGAGTTTTGGGGATTGGAGAGTTAATGAAAAGGACTTTAGGGGGGATGAGGGTGAGGCTTGGCTGAGCCTCTGGGTGTGGCCACCCCATGTGGTGTGGTCAACCTCTGGCCTCAGCACTGCTGTTGATGTTAAAGAAAGTGGGTTGACTAAATATACCTAAATTACTGCCTGGGGGAGGGCTCAGGACCTAGCCTCTAGCCACAAGACTTCAGCAGCTTTGAGGCAGGCCAGGCCTCTGTTTACAGCAAGGAGAGAGTGCTGACTGCCATGGTGGGAGCCCCAGGTTTCCTCAGAACAAGCCTTTGCTTCCCGAAACCAGAAGCAGATGGCCCCATCCAGGTTCACTGACCCTAGCACCCACTCCTGGTCCTGATAGAGCCCCAACCCCCCTTCTGTCCTCCAAACCTCCTCTCTGTCAGTGTTGAGTCCTGTGTGATAACTAGCAACCCCTACACACACACACACACACACACACACACACACACACACACACACGGCTTCCCTTCAACAGGCTTCCCTAGGGATGGTCAGGATGTAGACGAAGGATCCAGTATGATAGTGCGGCTGTGGGAAGGAGAATGAATGGAGTTCCCATGCTGCCCACCATACAGCTTCAGTGAAAGCAGTGTGAGGGATGAGGCAGGACTTCAGCGAAGTCTAGCACAGCCTTCTCAGAAGAGGAAAGTGAGGTCCACAGCAGGGAAGGGCCCTGTGTGGACATGGGGCAGCAGGCTGCCAGCTCCACTGTGTGTCCTGCCATGCACCTCCCCTAGCCTGCCACATGGTGAGGGAGCACAGTGAGAAAGTGGAGCATCACGGAAAATGATGGGGTGGGGGGAGCTGAGAAGCACTTAAAGGGGTGAGGGAGCACAGCAAGGGAGTGGGGAGCATGGTGAGGGAGTCAGGAACACGGCACAGTGGGTGACAGTTACTTAAGCACTAGGCTAAGCATAGGTGGGAGTGTCCCCCCACCCTAACATCACAGAAGGAAACTGGGACTATCACGCCCACTGTAGTCACCAGCTCATACGTGCTACATTGTTGTCTTGGCCAGGTCAGTCACATTCCTAGTCTGCATTTTTATCCTAACATCCCCTTCCATCTTGAAGCTCCCTTTTTATAAAAGACCTGTAGTTCCTGGGAAGACAATGGTCCCTGTAGGTGCCTGCATCAGTGCTAGGACTGATTCATGACACTAGGTGACCTAACTATACCTGAAGTCCTCGGATGTTAGCCATTGATCATCAGCCAGATGGCCCAGCCACCGTAGCTGAGTCCTCACCAGACAGCAGGCTTGGCCTCAGCTCCCCCTGCTATGCGGGGCTGATGAAAGCAGAAAGGCAGACAAAGGATCTGCTTGTCATTAGGAGCTGAGGTCGAGTAGGCAAGCCCTAGGCAGCAGCTGGAGACATGGGAACATGTGGCTTTCTGCTCAGTCAGGAACGGCCCAGAATAAATGCTGTTAATCCAAAGCAGTCTTGCTGCACTCCAGGGCCACCTGCCCACTCTTCTGGAGCTTGATCAATAGTTCATGCAAAAGGGACCCTCTAGGCTCTTGACAAGGGATGACTCCCATTCCAGTGACACAAAGGTCTGGAGAAGTGCCTGGGTGTGCTGGAGGAGACCATGACAGAGGGGAAGGCTGGACCCCAAAGTGCTGATTGGTCCATCAGCCATTAGATAACTTGTGGCCAGGCTAGAAATGGCCCAAAGTGAAAGGCCCATTCCCTCTATGAGCTGCCCAGCTGCTCTTCAGGGGCCAGTGAGAGGGACCTGAGCTTTCCACCCTCATTTATGAAAGAGCCATCCACCACAGGTAGACACACCTGTTGAGCGCTTCTGTCATAACCTAGAGCATGCCAGGAGCAGGGTAGACAAGGGGGGCCTGACTGGCCTGCTTACCTTCGAGCCCCATGACAGCAGTCTTGTGCTAGGCAAGGAGCTATTGGGATATGGTAAGGGGACCCCTGGGTTTGAGCCAGGTCCAGGAGGAAAAGGCTTCTGAGAAGAAGGGATAACTGAACTGCACTCAAGGACTTACAGAGGTCACCCAGGGAAGGAGGCTCAGGAAGGATGCTGAGCTTGTGAACCAGAAGAGGTGCTTACAAAGAACTAAAGAATGGGAACGTAGGGGTGAGGCTGATAAGGTCAGCCAGAGCATGCGCATGAAGGGCATGATCATTCAGGAGCTGTATCCCAAGGGCTGTGGGGACCCCTCGGGTTGTATTAAGTGGATGAGGGGCATCTATTATGCAGTTTACAGAATGCCTGTTCCCCTGTGTTCCAGCAGAAAGCACAGTAAATGGAGGTGGCAGGTGGGCACTGGTTAGACTGCTCTCTGGTTTAGGCAATGGGGATGGTGGCAGAGTGTGTGTGTGTGTGTGTGTGTGTGTGTAGGTGGACACAGTGGGTTTCAGTGATGATAGAAATGAATCTTAGGGGAATAGCAGGAGATCTGGAGGCCCCCCACTTCTGACTCAAGCCATGCAGTTCATGATCTTCCTCCCCAGGAGGAAGAAAAAATGCTGTCAGAGCAAGATGAGTTTGAGGCATGCTGGGGTATCCGAATGTGAGGGCCTTTGGCTCTCTCTCTGCCCTGGTCTTGAGTTAATGGAGGAGTTTTCAGAAATGGATATAGTTGTTCTTGTGTGGAAAGGCATCAGCAAATCCTTTGTATAAATGTGTGCCTGCTCCTGGTGTTTCCTACAGAGTGGGGTGTCCAACCAAATGCTAAATTCTGTTCAGAAAAAAAAAGTAAACTTGTGAGACTGTCATGTGTACATGCCATAGCACATGTGTGGAGGTTAGAGGATAACTTGAGGGACCCAGTTCTTTTCCATCCATCTGGGGATTGAACTCAGGTACTCAGGCTTACACAATGATCCATCTCACCAGCTCCTGATTCTTTTTAAAAAGCTGCATCTCATTCTATCAAGACAAATTCCCAATGAATAAAATTCTCGTGTAATCTGGGTATGGTACTACACACCTGTAATTTCAGTACTCAAGGGATAGAAGCAGGAGGATCAGAAGCTCGAGGGCAGCTTCACTTGGTTTGAGTCCAACATGAGCTACATGAGATCTTGTCTCAGAAAACCAAACTAAACCAAAACAAAACAAGATGAACACATGTTTTATAATTTCCCCTGGGGAAGACCCTTTTGAAACATGACAGAAAACCCAAAAGCCACAGGTGAACATTAGTAAGTTTGTCTACATGAATGTAAAACTTCTAGGGAAGGGAAATATAAACAAAACCAAAGACAAAAGTATCTGCAGTGCCTGTGATGATCAAAGAGTTGTTTTTGACAAAGACCGTCACACAAATCAGAAAAGGGAAAAATAAACAACTTAGCAGAAACTATTAGTAACAGGCAGGGCACGGTGATGCATGCCTGTAGTCCCAGGTACCCCGGAGACTGAGGTAGGAGGATCCCTAGAGCTCAGCAGTTTAGGGCCAACCTGGGCAACACAGACCCTATCTCAAATATACATGCCTGTTTGTGCTTTTCACTAGTATATATAGTGAAAAAATATATTAATATATATATTACATGAGTATTATACATTGCTAGTATAATATATTAATGAATAAAGCATAATAACATATTGTGATAATATAATAATATATTGTGTAGCTTATCTATAAACAGTACAAACAGCCAGCTCAGCAGCCTGGAATCTGCCTAGACCATAAACACTGGAAGAGGCAGTAAGCTCAGCATAAATTGAGATATAAATTATAATTCAGTTGCAAGTCTCCCCAAGTGCCATCTCCATAGCCAACCCCTCCAGGAAGCAGAACCCCATTTCCATGTGGTTGATGACAACATTCCTCCCCTGATCCTTGAAAAAGTCCTGGTTAGCCCCAGACTTGGCTCTGGGTTGGAAGGACACATCCTGCTCACCACGGCAGGCTCTGTAATTAGTAGACTGTGTGATTATCCCAAATATGAAACTATCAGCCCAGGCGGCCACAAAGACGCTTCTTGGAATCCTTTCCTCCTGACCTTTTCCTCGGGCCTCTCCGTGTCCAGAGCCATTACAGAAAGTTTACGCTGGGAGGTTTCAGAGATTGCATTGCATGGTTTCCGGGGCTTCTCCTCAGAGTTATTCTTAGAATCACTTATCCTTGAGAGGAGAGAAGCTGGGGCCCTTCTGACATCTGACTAGTGTCCCGCCCAAGCCTGCAGCACACTTCAGCTGGCTCCCTGTGGACCAGCACCCCACCCTGACATGGCAGCGTCCAAATGCCAACCTGGCCAGAAGGGCGAATGGTCCCTGTGCAGAGACCTCCAGATACGGATCCGGGGAGCCTGGAGATGTTCCAGTGTTACAGCAGATAGGTCCAGAGAAATTGTCCCCAGAATGGGATCTGGTTCTGGGACTGCTGTCTGACCAAAACAGACCTCCATGATCCTGAAACATACAGAGCTGGGGAGGTGGCTAGAGGGTAAAATGCTCACCGTGCAAGCATGAGCACCCGAGTTTAGATTCCCAGCACTGAAGAGTAGAGACAGGCAGATCCCCAGAACTCACTGGCCAGCTAGTCTAGACGAATCAATGGACTCCAGGTTCAGTAAAGAATTTTAAAAAGACAAAGTGGGGGACTGGAGAGATGTCTTAGCAGCTAAGAGCACTGACTGCTCTTGCAGAATCCTAGCACCCACATGATGGCTAACAACCATCCATAATTCTGATTCCAGAGAATCTGATGCCCACTTTTGACTTCCTCGGCCATTATACAACACTGGTGCACTCACATACATGCAGACAATACACTCATACACATAAAATAAAAATAATAAATAAAATATTTTTTAAAAGATTAGGGGCTGGAGAGATGGTTCAGCAGTTAAGAGCACTGACTGTTCTTGCAGAGGGCCGGGGTTCAATTCCAAGCACCCATATAGTAGCTAGCAACCATCTTTAACTCCAATTCCAGGAGATCCAACACCCTCTTCTGGCCTCCTCTGGCACTGCATGACATGGATGCACTTACATACATGCAGGCGATACACTCACACACATAAAATAGAAAGATAAAGTGGAAAGCAGTAAAGGGAGATACTTGACACTGAGCTCTTGCCTCCATACTCACATGTGCATGCACACACAGACATACCTACATGTACACACACATACAACACATATAAACACAAGCAGTCTGGTTGAATTCTGGTACCTTTCTGTTCATCTCAGTTCAACAAATACCCAATGAAAACAATTTCATTTCCATAGGCATTATAAGCATAATCGGTGGTATTTCTGTGGCCCAATGGGATTACAGGATTATCCCCACTCTTTTTAGGTAAGTGCACCCGTGTCATGCACTGCCCGTGGAGGTCAGAAGAGGCTATCAGATCCCCTGGGACTGGAGTTACAGACAGTTGTTAGCTGCCATGTGGGTTCTGGGACTCGAACCCAGGTCTTCTACAAGAACAACCAGTGTTCTTAACTGCTGAGCCATCTCTCCAGCCCCAGTTATCCCCATTCTATAGAAGAGGGAAGCTGAGACTTGGGGAGGTTAGACAATGGCTAGTGTCACACAGTTGTTGGTGGAGGCAGGATTAGAACTCAGCTTGTCAGACCCAACAGTCCATCCTTGCAAAGATGCTCATAAGCTTAGGGACTCCAAGCTGAGAGCTGGCATATCCTGGGCAGAGAACAGGAGCACAGAGGAGGCAGGAAGGGAATGTCACAGGGAAAGGATAGAAGATAACCTTGACTTTTGATTCATTACATGTATTTATTTGGGGGGGGGGCATGTGTGCCACAGCATATATTTGGAGGTCAGAAGACAACTAGTGGGAGTATTTCTCTCCTTTCATCATGAGGGTCGCAGGGATTGAACTCAGGTCATCCGGTTTGGTGGCAAAGGCCTTTACCCACTAAGCTATCTTGCTGGATAGGGCCTTGTTGGATCCTGAGGAGGGGACGTGACATGGCTCACATTTCTCAGCTCTCTGTTACCCTTAACCTTGAAGGTCAGCCTCTCAGACCTGCAGTCACAGTTTCATACTGCTTCTAACCTCAGTGTCTCTCATAGCCAGAATCTTGACCATTAGCCACTAGAATTGGTCTCCAATCCTGTGTCACACTCTATAACTCTAAGGAAATAAAACCCGAATGACTTTCCTCCCACAAAGACTGGGGCATCCAGAGATTGCTCAACTGCTGGGAAAAGTTTGAAGAACATGAGCAATCTAACCTATTCCAGCCTGAAAGTAAACATTTTGAAGGTGAAGTTCTTCTACCTATGGATTTCCAAGCCATCCTTAGATAAATGGCTATAAGCAATGCCTGTAAATAAAGAAGACACATTGGATATTGGTCCAGGGTTTCTATGCTCTGTGGGCAGAGTCCTTGCTGTCCTTGGCTGCTCTAGTAGTCTGTTGTCTGTTTCCGTGTCACAGCCCTGAGGAGTGCTCCAGGTTAATTCTAGGAGTGGGCTCAAAGGATGCTGGATGTTCCCATCCCTCTCTATAACCCTGGTTCCTGCAGGATCTCTCCTATGATGCTCCTTCCCCATCCTCCCTGAGCCAGTTCACAAGGTCAGGCCTCACGAATGATCACCTGGAGCCAGGGTTGGGCACAGAGGTGAACTCTGAGAACAGACATGACTCCACCCCTCCTCACTGTCCTGTTCTTTTCAGGGCCAGCCGGGCACACGAGGCTTCCCTGGATTTCCGGTAAGTATGGAAGACTCAGGTTAGCAGAGACAGGGGTTAAAGTGTATCCACCGAGGTCAGCCCTGAGGCAATTCTCCCTCCTGACCCTTGGTCACTAAGGACCCACTCTGCCACCTTTCATAGGAAAGTAGGTCCAGACTGGGCTCCTGGTATAAGAAAAGACACAGTGGTGACAGGCCAGGAGGAAGCTAATGAAGTTGCAGGTTGACACTCCCAGTGTGATTCCAGGATGTGGACAGATGGTGGGCTGGGGAAGTGACCTGAGAACTGACCTCTGGCCAAGCTCATAAAAGAAATCCACCAAGGAGCCAACAGAGAAGTGGCTATGGGAGTGTCCTTTCACCCCTGTCCATAGGGCCTAGACAAGTTCTAGGGGTGCAGCTGCCTCTGCTGACCAGCCCTGGCTTCCTAGGAACATGCTATCCCCTCTCCTCTTGGGGTGAGAGAAAAGTCTCTGAGAGCAATGACAGGGCCACTTGTTGGGTTCAGCTCTGTGCTAGTCATCTAGCTTGTGGAATTTATTTTTTCCTCCCAAAGACATTCAGGGAAAGTTCTAGTATTTGTGCTCCCATTTCACGATGGGAAATTGACCCTAGATGCACCCATAGTTACCCAACCAATAGATGGTCAAGCAGACGCCCAAGTCCTAATGTGGTACCAGAATCACATTCCTCCCCAGGCCCAGGCTGCTTCCTGAGCAGGAAGCCTGTGAGGGTCTGTCTTTCCATCTGGGAGGCTCCATCTTTACATCTGGCCTTTCTGTTTGCAGGGTCCCATTGGTCTTGATGGAAAACCGGTAAGTGGATTGTTGGGGTAAGTGGACCCTTGAGCTGGACTCTGCCCTGCCTCCACCCAGTTCACTCACCTGTGGCTCCTGGTTCTCCTACACCCCAGCTCATTAGAAAGAAAACAGGCCAGAAACACATTGCTAATGGGAAGGGGATGGGGGGAACTATTTGAGTCACCCCAACCTCAGTGGGCTTCCACAGTGCATAAGTCTATAGTGGCCAAACTGGATGCTCAGTGTCTGAAGTAAAAACCATCCATAGACTTTGGTGACTCTGAGCTGCTCCTGGAAGGGGCCTGGGATCAGGGCTCAGGGAAGGAAGCATTAGCGATAGCAGAGGAGCGTTAGGGATGACAGAAGGGTAGAGCTCTGCAGGCTGCCCTAGTACCACCATGGTGCTCAAGAGGTCTCCCGTTCTCTTCAAGGTTGGGGCAACCCTCCCCAACTGAGGCTCTACATGCACACTCAGGTCTACCTCTGATCACTTTGACCCTTCAGCCTTGGTCCCCTGGCCCAGGTGTTCACAGAAATTGGAGGACAGCTGACCTTCCAAAGCTCTTGGAGTCCCTACAATGCACCCTGGGGATGGGATGCACCCCTTTGGGCTCTTCCCAGATAGCTGGTGCCCTCTCAAGTGGAGACATGGTCACCTGTCCAGTAGGCCAATAAAGTTCTATGTAGCCCAGGGTCTGCAGTGGTCACGTCCACAAATACCACAGGGCCAGGTGTCCCCCACAGCTGTCCTGGATGTGTGAAGGGGTTGAGGGTTGGGAACCAGGGAGATACCCTTACCTCTAGTCTCCTTTGAAACACAGGTAGCTGCTAGTAAGGCCAGGGGAGTGCAGGGGGGAATGACCCTGACCCAGTCGGACTGGGCAGATAAATGAGTGACAGAATGACCATGTGAAAAGGGACAGAAACTAACTTCATGATGTGGGGAGTCAGGAGGAACACATAGAACAGGCAGGGTGAGGGCTTCCCTTTGAAACAATGTTTGTGAAACTTACCCTCTTCTTCCAGGGCCATCCCGGACCAAAAGGGGAGATGGTAAGACCCCTGCTTTCTTTCCTTCCCAAGCCAGCTTGGTCCCACTGCCCACAAGAGACAGTGGCTGCCTGTCACAGTCACCCCAGCCGAGCACACCCCTAGGACCTAGATTCACACAGGTCCAGAATGACACACTTGGCTAATGCCACGTAGCATAGCAGGTCAGCAGGTTGCTAGATTGTGCCCCCAGACTGCTCTGCGTGCATTTTCTAATCCTAGAGGGCATTTCCTAGGAGATGGTAGCTCTTCACCTTCTCACAGTGACTTTCCCCTGAGTTGCCCCAGGACCCTGTGGCCACACCCCATGAGTCCACTGGAACTTTCCTGGTTTGGAGGGGTCCATGTTGTGAGCCAAAGGCAGGAGAAAGGTTGTTCTCTTGCATCTTGGCATCCTGAGGCCACCCACCAAGATACCCCAAAACTTCAGGGGTCCAGAGACTGGTGCTTCAGGAGATCCCCACAGGCTAACATGGGGCTGGCAGAGACCTCAGGAGCCCAGGCAAGGAACACTGTGTGTTGTTCCAAGTCTAAAAGAGTGTAATAGACTTGAAATGATTGGACTCCATGGTCTCACCTGGACCCACATCTTAACACTGCCATTCTCTGTGCCTTGGGCCTCACCTCTGTCCCTTCACCTGGGAGGCAAAGGTGGTGTCAGCCCCTTCCCTCTGGCTCTGTGCCGGTGAACTCTGTAGAGCCTGGCCCAGAGGGGACATACCTCACATGCTTTTGTCTTGCCCTCTGACCTGCACATCTGCATGGGGCTCTTTTTTTATTTTTGTTTTTATTTTATTTTATTATTTGTTTATTTATTGGTCTTTTTGAGACAGGGTCTCTCTGTAGCCCCAGCTGTCCTGGAACTCACTATGTAGACCAGGCTGGCCTTGAACTCACAGAGATCCAGCCACCTCTGCCTCCCAAGTGCTGGGATTAAAGGCATGAGCCACCACGCCTATTTTGTTTTTAATTAAAAAAAAATTCATGTGTATGTGTGTATTGCCTGCATGTACATAAGTATACCTGTGTTGTGCAATGTCCGCAGAGGACAGAAGAGGCTGTCGGATCCCCTGGGACTGGAGTTACGGACAGTTGTTAGCTGCCATGTGGGTGCTGGGATTTGAACCCGGGTCTTCTGTGAGAACAGCCAGTGTTCTTAATCCCCGAGCCATCTCTCCAGCCCACATGGGGCTCTTTTGCTGGCTCCTCAAAGCCAGCCAGCTATCAGTGACCTGCTGACAAGGCAACCCTGAAGGAAAGTCCCCTTGTGCCCTCCAGGGAGTTTGGAGCAAGGAATTGAATGGCCATCCCAGCTTCCCGTCCATACCACAGACGTCTTAAAACATAGTATCTATAGCACTGACCTGCCACACCCATGTCCCCTGGGATCTCTTGGTGCCTGGGGTGCAGGTGGCAGGGTCTCTCATTAGCAGAACATCCCCTGACATCCAAGTACAACCTCCCACGCAGAAGACCTTTGAGATGACACTGATTTCGGGAATGGATGAAGGAGACAGGGAGCACCCATCCATGCCCACTGAGGCTCGGCACATAAGGTCAAATCACCTTGCATGAGCTAGCAACAGGCAGGCCTGGCCATGGTTGCCAGATACCAGCCTACAGGATTCTGGGACAGTCTAAGAAGCTCCTGGAAGCCCAACATCTGTCCCAATCCAGCCAGGCATGTGTCTCTGATCTTCCTACCTACTGACCCATGCGTTTCCTTCTACAGGGCCTGACAGGTCTCCGTGGACAACCGGTTGGTACCTCTTCTTCCTTGTCCCCAGCAGGGAGGTTGGGGGCCATGTTGCCTGGACTTTGAGCCCTAACTCTTTCATTTCTGTCTCTTTGTAGGGACCTCAAGGACAAAAGGGAGAAAAGGTAAGTGCAACTGGGGCTTCCTAGCTCCTGCACCTGGGACAAACTCCTGCATCAGGCAGAATGGGGTCAGAGCAGCCACTTAAGAACTTGAGTTTTAGTGGACGGGATCAAGAAGCCCCTGTGGGACAATCTTCTTGAGCTGGAGGACTGCAGGCAGCTTGGCCCCCTGTCTACCTGCCATCAAACTCATGGGCTTATTCACTGTAAGATATGAATTTGTAAACATGCTGGCCTGGTCCCCTGCTGACCTCCTGCATTCTCTGTCTTACTCAATTTCTAACCAAGATTGGTAGATTTGCTCGTGGCTTTGGTGTGGGAGCCTGGCATTTTTGATTTAGAGAAGGTATCCCCAGAGCCCTTCTGACCACCATAGGGTCATCAGATACTTATCTGTCCAAGGCTATCGGTTGGGCCAATCCAGGGTGTGAGCCAACAACTGAGCCTGGAACATAACTCATGGCAGGGGAGTGTGGCACCCCATCAGGCCTCTTCCAGGTAGGCTCTGGGGGTTTCTTTCTGATGCCTACTAGAGGCAAGGGAGTGGGGACCACTTCTCCTGCCTCAGAGGACCCAGGGCAGAGAAGCGGAACTGGTGCCTGAGGAGATACATGGTCTGTTTTGGCTCAGGTCCCTAAGTACCTAACACCCCTCTCCTTTTCTCCCCTCCCTAGGGTCAGTGTGGCGAGTACCCACACCGGGTAAGTGTCCTTGCAAGCTGAGGGAGCCCTTTGATCCATCCTGAAGGCCCGCTCCACTCAGCCTACCACCCTGAGGAGAGGAGGAACTCACAACCCTGTGAACTCAGCCGCTGAGGAGGTGGCTCAGAGTATAGTGTGCTGGGCCCTGCAGCTGACTGTGACTCTCAGCAGCGTGCATTTACAAGGAGCCAGCCTTTCCTGGCTCTGTCTGCCAGCCTAAATGCCTGGGAGTTTCTGGTTGGCCACTTGCATGGGTCTGTGTGTTGACTCTCTGCCTATGTGGGGAACGTGTGTGTGTGTGTGTGTGTGTGTGTGTGTGTGTGTGTGTGTGTTCACACATGACTGTGTCTGCATGTCTGGCAGTTTGTCTTGACAAAATATGAGGGACTTTTGGGTTAGTCATTGCTTCAGATGGCCCAGATCACCAGGCGGGGAGATCTTCCAGCCACTGCATCCATTTGGGGACAAAGCATGCATCTTCCCTGTTAAGAACACAGGAAGTCATTCCCACCAGGAACATTATGGAGGTTCCCCCGACCTCCTCCTGACCTTGCCTTTTCTTGGCTTTTTCAAAACATGGAACCTAATGTTCACTTGTATACTGACAGTAGAATTCTTGCTGGGGACAGGAGGACACAACCCCAGTGGGACACAGCTAAATAGCCTGTGAACCAGTCCTGTCACACTTGGGCCTGGGCAGTATACATAAAGAAGATGGGCATTTTAGATAACTGACTTCCATCAGTAGGGGCCTCAGTGTACACACAATCCGCTGCCTGGCCACCACAGGGCAGGTACTAGGATGGAGCTGAGCAGGTGGAGCCTGGCATAAACCAGGCTCAAAATGGATATGACTCTCCACTGTGCCTAGGAGGGTGTGGCTAACATGGCCAGCCTCTGCCCAAACTCTCAGGATACAAGAAGGCATGCAGGTCAGTAACCTCTGGGTCCTTGGGCCAGAGAGAGGCTATGGTAGACTTGGAAAATAAGAGGTAGGATCAGGTTTGAGACCTAGCCTGGTGAGCACACAGGCAGAGTTGGCCTATATGTGTCATGTGCTCCAGGGGTTCTGCTGTTCTGGCTGGCCTGCTCCTGATACAATAATGGAAGCCCAACTGCATTTATTTGAAACATGGACTCACAAGATGGCTATGCTAGCCAAAAGAAAGGCAGCATCCTCCAGCACAGAGATAGTAACTGCAGGCACCTTAACCCTCAGGAATGCTCAAGTGGGGAGGGAGCAGGCTCTGTGCCTCTCAACCCTGCACAAGAACAGAGAAGGCAGCAGTGCTAGAAGGTTCCAGGAGCACATTCTTAGGACTGCAGAGACCTAGGGATCAAGTACTGCAAGGGTGAAAGAGAATTTGAGGGACTAGCTGATAGGCAAAGCGGGTTTATTTAGAAGAAAGATCAGGGACCTCTAGTCAACAACTGGCTTCCCAAGAGATAGACAGCTGTAGGCGAGGAGTCCTTACTCCTGTCCAGCAGAAGAAGAAAAGGCTAGACAGTGAGTGAGAAGTTCCTTGGTGTTAAGAACGGTGGCTAGAGGGTCTGCAGGCTCTCTCTCTCCCTCTCTCTCTCTCCTGCTCCATGTGACTCAGTCTCTGTTGCCCTCCTTTCCCCTCCCAAACCAGGAGTACCTGAGCAGCACGCTAGCAGCTCTGCGCTCCAACCCAACAGTTCCCCTAAAGGTTCGTAGGGTCTAGAAGGGCTCTGGCCCCTCTTGGTTTCCTGGACACATATCCCAACATTGCACATCTCCAGGCCCCAGCACGAGAGGGTGAGACTCTACTTGACTGTGTGTGGCAGCTGCCCCTGTGGGAAGTAGGGATAACTTGAATGGGCCCCCAGTTCCAGAGCCAGGTACATTCTCAGCCCAAGCAACTCCTGGTTCTTAACATCTAGCCCAGGGGCTTCCAAGTGAGTTGAGATGCCTTTGAATACATGTGGTTGACTGGCTACTGCCTTTGTTTTCACACTGGTTCTCATCTTCCAAACATCTGATAAAGTTCAGCCTAGCCAGGTAGGAAGACTAAAAGGAGCAGAAATTTCCCTAAATAAGAATCATATTGGATAATGTGATTTCATTGTGCCTGGTCCCCAGTAGCAGTTGACCATTCCAGAAACATCTTTACTGAGCACACCAGCCACGGAGTGAGGCTTCAGCAGCACTTCAGCATGTTCTGTGAGCCACACCCTCGGCTAGCTTGGCTCCAGGAGTTAGGCTTAGCTTCCCTCGACCATCATCCTCAGATGTGCTGACATCAGCCTTTCTCATCCTACCAAAAAAGAACCCACAGGGGACCGCACGCCAGCCTGGCTCCACATACCAATTTAGCTAGTCCTGTGGCTCCTGACGCTCAGTCCAGCAGCCACTGTCCACCCAGCAGGGCTGGGCAGGCCAGTGCAATGTTGGGCAGTGTGTCACATGGCCTTGGTGGCCTGGCATAGCCTCAGAGTTGGGCCTGGCCGAGGGGTGCTCCTCTCCTCACTCACAGGGGCTGCTGCCAGGTACCCTGAGCACTGACCTGGGGGCTGAGGCAGGGTGCCAGCGAGGCTCCTCCTTCAGAGGAACAGCAGTGCCAGCCAAAGGCAAGCTCAGCACTGTGTCCCTCAGCCCAGCCTCCAGGGTGCCCAGTCCACACCCTTCTCCTGCTCCATGCTCACATTGATTTTCTTCTCTCTCCTCTCCTCTCTAACCTTCTCGGCTGCTCTTCCTGATGACTTCCTGCGTTGAATACCTGTGACCTCTGGCCTTTGCCCTCTGGTCTTCCAATTCGTGTCTCTCTTCAGCTGTTGCCTCTTCTCAATTCGGTGCGGCTGGCTCCACCCCCAGTCATTAAAAGGAGGACCTTCCAGGTAGATACCCTTTATTGGCCAGAGCTTGTTGGGCTTTCCCAGGGGCTTGGCAAGTCTTGGAGCCCTGACAGGCCAGCTGGGGCTGACTGCAATGCCAGAACCGCCTTCTAACACAGTTACAGTAAATTAGACCACACTGACCCATAGATGCCACAGATGTGGAAATACACAGCACACCATGATACTGTGACAGTCACCAACAACAAGCATCCCCGTGGCATCCATTTTGCAGGCCTAACTTTATTTATGTCTTTCAATGAGTGAAGCATCACATCCCTAGTTCCCAGATGAGGAAATGAAGGCTCAGAAAGGTTCATTAAGTTGCCTAAGGTCAAACAGCCCACAAATTGCAAGGCAAGGGTTTGTACCCACCATCCCCACCAGTTTCCTAACGTACCTCACCTTTCTCCTCTGTAAAATCAGAATAAGAATAGCATCTGTATTGAAAAGAGAGCATGTGGGATAGCTCCTGGCTCAGTTTAAGTGCTATTGTATCAGCTGCCATTATTACTGATAACCATAATTTAAGGGCCAGGAAACTGAGGTTCAGAGAAGTGAGTTGACTGAACCAAGTCACAAGAAGTAGAAGACCTGGAAGCCAGGTGTTTGGTGCCCACACCCCTACTCTCTGGGTAGGACCTACATCCTTTATGCTTAGAAGTACAGACTGCTGAGCATCCGATCACTTGTAACCTGAGTGTGAGGAGCGAGGGCATTTGTAGAGTGTTGTGGACCAAACCAACATCATGTTCAAAACCACTTCCTACCTGCTACCCCGAAGTAGCTTGGCCAAGAGCAGATGCCTCAGAACAAAGCAGTGTTGTCTCTGCTGTCTGAGAGGCCACAGTTGGCCAGGGGCTTCCAGCCTTACCTGCCTTCTACTGCACAGTTGTCCCTCTGGCCTGGGGAACTGGGAGTGACAGGGCTCTGAGCAACCAAGGCCTTGAGCTGCCTGCTTGGGAGTTTGCCACTCAGAACACTCAGGCACGTGACTGAACAAGGCTGAAAACTCACTCCAATGATCAGCTCAAAATACAAAGGGCCATGTGATGATGCATGTGCAACCCACGCTTGCAACCCAGCCAAATCCTCGAGAGCCTCCAAGGGCTCCGAGGGCTGCTCTGGAGGCCGCTGGGAGCTCAGAGCAACACCGGGCCCACTTATCACCACTCCCTGCTGCCCCAGAATGGCCCTACAAGATGGTCTTAGATTAGCAGAAAGGAAACTCATATAAGATCTGATGTGCTTAGCAGATGGTGCTGGAGGTCATTTCCAAAGTGCAAAGCGTTGGATGACATGCCCTGCTCCACTGAACTGTGAGCCAAAGACCATGCCATGGCCTCTGACCTATGATCTCATTTGATCCTCTAGAACAGATAATCAAAACCAGCAAAAGCTAAGACAGGAAACAAGGACCCTCTGTTCCCATCTCATGGCTGGGAAACCAGGTCTGAGGCAGGCGATGTGACTTGTTTGGTTGACAGGGAAATAGAGATAGGCTGCAGACCACCTGGGCTGAACTGTAGCATCAGGAGCAGGCCTTGGGTTCAGGCCAGGGGGCATCTGTTACTTGTTCCTCTGTCTCTGCCAATGCTGCTGGACCCTCTGCCCTGGGAACTGGCTGTCCTGGGGACCAAATCCTCCAGAAGCTCCACAGCTCAGTGACCTTATGGCTTGGTCCCCTTCTTGCTACCACTAGCCCTTGCATGTAGTCACCATCGCCACAGCATCATCAACCCCATGCCACCATCCACCCACTGCCACCACTGCCTTCCCAGCAGGATCCACAGAGGCCTCACTGGGTGCATGGCACAGCAGATGGGAGTTGGGGAACTAAACTGAAGCTTCAAGGTCTCTAACATATGTTTACTCCAACCTTAGGGGGAGCAGAGCCAGGCTGGCATCCAAGGCCCTCCAGGACCACCAGGCCCCCCAGGACCAAGTGGACCTCTGGGCCATCCAGGACTGCCAGGGCCCATGGGGCCACCTGTAAGTATTCCTCCCTCATTCCTTCAAGCTTCACCCTAAGAATTCTCTGGAAGCTTCTGAATCATGAATAACCACCAAATGACAGAAGCTCTTTGTCAAGGCCCTGAACATGGGTGGCCTATGCAGGAAGCTGTCCATACCTGTCGCTCTCTAACTCTGCGAACACACTGGTGGGACTGTATCCTTTGATGGTTTCCAAGGGCCCCTATCCTGGCCACAGTAAAGTCATTAGGATAGAAAGTCCCCAGGGCTTTGACAGTTGTCCCTGAGCCCTGGGCTTAGTAGGTTCTAGAAAGGTACAAGGAGGGGCATGCTACCTAACTCATAATGAGCATGCCTTTCACCAAAGTGAAAATCTATGCTACTGGGCCACCTTCCAGGCAAGCTGTATGCCCAGTCAGTGGGGCCCTACATGTCAAGCCTAAGGATTGGCAGGGCCACTGTTGGGTGAAGAGCAGAGGCCAGCCCCCCCACCCAACAATGACAGATCAATCCCAACTCATTTATTTTCAAGCTCTGTCTGGCCAAGACCCTAGTCCTCCTCATCCCACAATGCAACAGAAATGTTTGCATACATCTCTGATAGATTCTCCCAAGGGGTGAGGTAGCTCTGAATTACAGATGTCCCTCCACATTCAAAGGCACTCTGGTTCGTGCCTGGGCCCCTCAGCTTTCCTGACTAACAATCTGGAGGCTTCATGGAAGGTCCCTGTGGGCTGGATGACAACTCTGGTCACCAGACTCTCTTCTGGGATTGGGAGGGCTGTACTGTAGTGAGAACCTACGTTGCTCAGAACTGGCCCCCTGGCTAAGCTTAGTCCTCTAAAGGGACATTTACAGAATTTTCTCCCAAGGACCTCAGAGGGGGAGATTTCATTCACCTGTTGATGGGAAAATAGAAAGTCTGAAAGGAAATGAATGTAACAAATTGAGCCTAGAAAACCCCAAAGTGCCCTAAATTTACTGCTTTACCAACTACCACCCTCCCACTCAGCGTTGGGCTCTCTCAATGCCAGACAGGTGCCTTTCTTTCTTAGGTTGTTTATAAAGAATAAACTCAGAAAGTGTGTTTTTTATAACCATTGAAATAGGCCAGACCTAGCATCATGGTTTTCTCTAGCCCACATTTACTGCCCAAACCTCCACCCAAGACTGTAGTAGCCAGCCACCCCTGGCCTTTCCCTGAGGTACCACAGGCCTTCATGCCCATACCAGCTCACCGCAACCAGCTTCTGTGGTCACCTTGGGATAGAGGGAGCTCTTCTGTAGGCTGGCAAGGCCAAGATCATGGCCTTGTTGGGCAAGTTCAGCTTTCCAGCGACGTTCATGGGTAAGGATCTTGTCTTACCCACACCATCAATTTAGCCCCATGCCACTGACCTACTTTCCAGTGGATGAGCATAGCAGAGTTGCCCATGGTGCCCACATGGCTCCAACCTGAGACACTAGCCTACTGTCCCCATGTGCCCTCCCAGATTTCAGTTACTCTCCAGGAGCTGTTCAGGCCTCTCTGCCCCAGCCTCCACTGTGAACATAGATAACCTCACCCACTCACCATCTTGTCTCCACAGGGCTTACCTGGGCCTCCTGGACCAAAGGTGAGAGTTCCCCTGGGTGATGATGGGAGCAGTAGCGGAAGCATTCCCTGGAGGGGTGTCAGCTCAGGAAAGAGCTGAGAGGGACCAAAATAGAGCATTGGATTCAACATGGGCCATTTCTAAAACTACCTCACACCTTTCTTGGGTGCTCAGGCCAACTGAACAAGCACTATGGCTGAAATAGAAAGTTTTGTCCTGATAGTGTATGATAGTGATGTATGAGGCCCTGGCTTCCCTGCCCAGTGCTTCATAAACAGAGAGTGGTGGCACATGCCCATTGCTCAGGGAATAGAGGAAGGAGGATCAGAAGTTCGAGGTCATCCTTGATTACACAGTGAGTTCTGGGCAGCATGAGATACATGAGATTCTGTCAGAAAGGAAGGAAGGAAGGGAGGGAGGGAGGGAGGGAGAGAGGGATGGAAGAGGGAGGGAGGGAACCTCCAGGGTGATCTGGTCTTTTGTGAAACTTTCCCAGAAGCCCATGATGACAAAGACACTGTCACTTTGAAGCCAGAAACCCCTGGGGACCAAAGGGCACAAAGCACTGATAGTATCTATTACTCTGTGGCAGTAGAGAACAAGAAAGGGGCTGGGGAGAAGAATTGTGGCTGGAACCAAAACTAGCAGTCCAGTGTCATGGGTCCCCAGCAAGCTCAGCCATCAGAACAGTGTCTGGGGACCTCAGAGGCCACTGTCGTTGGGGGGGGCAGTATCCAGGGGGAAATGAGGGTCCATCAAGAGGCAAACGATGGTGGCATTGTGTGGCAAAGAGCACTAACCAGTCTGGCATGGGAAAGACACTTGAATGACCTCCTCTTCCTTCTCCCAGGGAGACCCGGGGATCCAGGGCTACCATGGCCGCAAGGTAAGCAGGAGAAGGAGGGGAGAATGCCGCCTCTTCTATGGAGAGCCCACATGCTGCACACAGACCTGGGCTGGGTGGGGTGCAGAATACATTCACACCTGTACCAGCCACGTGAGCCTCAGTGCCTATGACGCTGGCTGAACAGAGCTCAGAGTCTCCACTCAGAAAAGAAGGGGAACAGGTGGGATAGGGCCTTGGCAGGTGGCTCACCTCAACTTTAGGTGAAGAAGAATCCCTCTTGTTGACCTGGGTGGCCATGTCTGGACTGGGAGAGTCAGGTTCTCACTGGCTCCTGGGAAATCTGATAAGTAGAGGCAGATTCCTGGGCCCCTCCATGGGGAATTCCATGCTGAACCTGGTGGGATGGATGTGGATGGGTCCATCCGTGCCCTCTGGCAGCTCCCAGTCCAGGCAAACAGAAACATTCCTGTACAAATTACCTTGCTGGTGGCAAACTGTTAAGCTCTACCATTGCAAAGTACCCTGTGAAGGCAGAGTGGAGACATGGACCCCAAGGGAAAAGAATTGGGAAGTCTCCTGGGAGGAAACAGCCAAGGGTTCAACCATGGGTAATGAGTGGGTATATCAGCTAGATAGTGTCATGTAAAAAACTTTCCCAGATTTACTGATTTAAAACTATTATTCTGTTTTATGATTCTGTGGATTGGTGCCCTGAGGGTTCTGTGTTCCCACAGGGGTTTGTGAGAGCAGTGACTTAACAGACGAGACAGCCTCTTTCCGTCCAATGGATAGTGCTGGCTGGTGACTGAGAACCACCAGTAGACTCTCCATGTGCCTTTCGTCCTTTTGAACAGGCTTAGACAGGCTTCCTCAAAGCAAGGCAGTCTTAAAGACTGGCAAGTCCTGGTACATAAGCACCCTCCCAGGATGGTCTCAAACACTTCCTAAGGTGCTTTTGGTCAAATGAGTCACATGACCAAGTCACCTGCAACAGCACAGAAAGAGAGCTAATCCTAACTGCTTTATTGAAAGAGTAGAAAAGCACTGTGACCGTTTTCAGTCCATCTCCTGGTCCTTCACTGGCGACTTTGAAAGGAAATAGTATTTTAGACAAGGAAACCATCTGAGCCGAGGCCCGGAAGCAGTTACTGCAATAACCATAAGAGCATTATGTTTCTAATAACAGCCAGTGGTTACTGAATGCCAGCAGTGTGCCAAGCCTTGTGCTAACCTTCACACTGCCTGGGGCTGCTGTGATTTGCTCCTACCTAGTAAATGGGAAAACTAAGGCTCACCCAAGGCTCAGCTGGGAGAAGTCAGGTCTGGGTCCTACTGATGGTACCAAGGATCCATCTCTGTCCTCCAGCTACTGACTGGAAAGCTCCTGATTCCAGAACCTTCCAGAAGGGGAAATGCAGCAGGAAGGAAAGGCATGGGTGGGGGAAGGAATCTTGGAGAGACTCACTTGCTCTCTGAATTCTGGCAACTGCCTTCACTATGGTGTTTTATGGGTACTTGGTGGGGGACATGGTCCGACCTGAGAGATCTTTAATTAGTTCTGCATAAACTGAGAAGCTTGTGTTGTGTCAGGAAGGGGAAATTATAGCCCCCACGGTTGCCTCTATCCACCCACTCTGACTCACAAAATTTACTGCCTCCCAGTGCAGCACAGGTTGGTTTTCCCATTAGCAGCCAGATTGGCTCTTTTAAACTGTGAAAGGCAGAGGCACTGGCAGAGGGTCCCCAGAGTCATGGTGATGCCCTTGACTGGCTCTGTATTGTGACAGGCAGTATCTGACTTTGCTGCAAACCAGAAGTCTGGTTCCTCAAAAAAGGAGTCTAGAGGACAGTTTTCCTGAGGCTGGAGAGGCCCCTACTGTGGGCTGGGGTGTGGTGATGCTAGAGGGCCTGGGCCCACATGAGTGGCCATTCTACATGTGGACAGTTGGTAGTAAGGTTCATTCAACCCAGTACACCTGGATTTTCAGAGGAACCAGTACAGAACCACTGAGGGAGGAGCATCTCCTGGTCCCAGATTCCTGAGGTTTGCTGTGGGGAGAGGAGGCAGCTGGCTCAGGCCTGGAGTGCCTGGTAGGTGGCTATCTGGGAAGAGCAGTTCTAGCTCCATCAGAGGTACTTCCTGATGCCAGGTACCAGGGAGGGCATGAGCAAGTCAATCAAGCCGAGGCCTGAAACCAGCAGCCTGGTCTGTTAACAGCTTCTATATCAGCTAGGGAACTGGGCTACAATCCTTTCTTGTCTCCTAGGGACAGACTGACTGCCATGTCCCCTGGAGGCTCTTTAGAGCTTTGTGAGCCTTGGCCTCTTGGTGCCTCTATCCCCATCTTTTTACCTCATTAGAGGTTCTCAGAGCACCCTTACCTCTAGGACTCAGGCGCAGCCTAGAAAACCTGTCCCCTCATACTGGGTTCTCCTTTCTCTCTCTGCCAGACCACCCCCTCTGCTGCTCCACAGGGGTCTCTTCCCAATGCATCTAGATAGCTGGTACCCCCTCCTCCCTTTGTCTCTCACCTTCCCAGCCACCTCCCAGGTGGCCTCAGCACCTCCACACCTGGGCCATCCTTTCTCTTCTGGGGCCCTTATCCTGGCACCAACTTCCCTGTCCTTCCTAGTCCATCAGCAGAGGGGTTCCTCGCAAAAAGACTGCAAGTACCTGTCCCAGTGCTCCACACCCACGGGGCAGTAGCATTTTGACCCCAGTGATCCCCACACCCAAGCAGACATTGGCTTCCCCTCAGAATCCTGAGACAAAGTGATTGTCACTGATACCCAAAATCAAGTGCAGTTGTGCCTCACATCTTAGTTTAGCCCAAGTTCAATCACACCTGCCTCATTCCCTCCTTACCATAGCCAAGAGTAAGCAATCATATCACTGAGAGGTTAGTACTACTAACATTGCACAGTTGCCGAATAACCATGGGATTAGAAATTAGGTGTCATGAGCCTGTCTGAAATGTCCCCCTCTGGTTTCTCTGGGATAGGGAGGCTGAGCCACCACCGCCCCCAACAACCCATTGCCATCTCTCTCTCTCCTCCTCTTTCTTTCCTTCTGCTCTGTGCCTAGACTAAGGTGTGGGGAGGAGACATTAACTTGAAGGAGGAGTGGACATAGATGCCAGAAAGATGCTCCCATCCCCCAGCCTAGGGGAGGAGTGGCCGCCAGAGATGGGAATGCTGAGCTGAGTGAGACAGAACCCCCTCATGGTCACAGTGAGATGGGGAATCCTTCATCCTTTGGGTAGCAGATAGACCCCACACAAGCTTTGCTCACTCCATCTACAACACTTGGCACACACACAGAGGGTCTCTCTTTCAACACAAGGTAGAATTTAATTTCTCAGCCTATGATGTATATGAATGATTAGCTAGCTCCCTCCATCACATCACCCCTGCTGGCTGGACCAGGCCTTGTGTTCTCAACCAGGTAGGCAAGGCTGACTTCTCTGCTGGCTCCTTGAGATCAAAGCCCACCCTGTACAGACTTCATGCCTGCCCAGTTTATTTCAGCATTATGACTCAGGCACTCCTTCAAGAGGATTGACAGTGATCATCAGACCACTGTGGGTCATAGACCTGGTGGGAGCTTGTCTCCAAGTGCATTAGAAATGTCACTAGTCTCTTTGTGGGGTGCACCTGGAGTACCCCGTGTATTCTAGGTGGGTTTGTGTGGAGGACCATGGCTGGGTCACGTGTTATATGGTTTCAAACCAAAGAAGGAAGAGTGCAGGAATTCAAGAGCCTCCTGCCAGAGACTTATACTGTACTCATTCTTTGGGGACAGTCCCCAGAGATAGGGACACCCATGTATGATAATTCTGATCTGCTAGTTCCAGCAATGGCCCATGAAGGAGACCCAGTTCTGTAGAATAGTGACCAGCACTATTATAAGTACTTTCTGAGCTCTTCCCAAGTGCCAGGCTGGGCAACAGGTATCCACAGGCATCATTGTGTGCTGTTTTTTTTTAAGACAGTGTTTCACATGGACCAGGCTGGCTTTAAACTCACTAGATAGCTGAGGATGCCCTCGACCATCTGATTCTTTTGACCTCTCAAGTGTTTGGATTGTAGGCAAGTACTAACCACACCCAGTTTGTACAGTGCTGAGGTGCATGCTAGGCAAGCACCCTGTCAACTGAGCTACAACTGCAACCCCTCATGCCTCATTTATTGCCTCCCTTTAGCAGCTCTAGGAGGTGGGATTTCCCAGTATCCCCAGCTAAGTCTGCCTCCCCAAAACCCACAACTGGGATATGGTTGAAGTTAGGTCTATCTGACCCCAAAGCTTTGGCTCCGAATGACCTTGTTACCTGTATCTGAGAGTCCCCAAGGGACCTCATGCATTCTAGGAGGCCTTCTCCCTCCTGTTCTCCTTCTTGTAGAAACAAAGGTCCTGGTTGGATCCAAACTTTGCACAAGCCTCTCTGGAGCACCTAGGAGCAGGACACACAGGTGCCCCAGTGCCTTAGCTGAAGAACTGAGTGCTTTGCCCAGACAGATGATCTGAAGTAGCTGAGCTGGTCCCCAAATTCTGACAGTTTGTCTCAAATTCCAACTGCTCCTGAAAGCTCCCTGCATCCCTCCAGCTCTCAGAGGGCCCAAGTGACCTTGTATATTTCCATGCAGCAGAAGGCACTGTCCAACCTGCTGATATGGACACAGCATTTTCTGTCAAAGTTGGGAAGTCTCAATAGGGACATCCAGCCCTCCTGAAATGGAAGAGGATAAAATCAGGGAGACGAGGGCCCCAGATCTGAAGCCTCAAGGGAGCTGACTAGACCACAGTCCCCACTGTGTCCTCTGGGTTGGGCTGGGCTCTGCCCTCCAAACTCCACAGATTAATTAGAGCTGACTTTTCCTTTTGGAACTGACTACAAAATCAACCGATCTCAAATTGCGATTACAAGCCTGCAGCCCTTCCAAAATCCTGGCCTTCAATGGGGCACCCGACTGCGGTAATTCCCTGGATCACTTCCTGCCAGCCCTAATTACCGGAGGACCTGGGATTTCCGTGGTTCCGGTCCTCGCTTGGTCTGGAGACAGACTGGGTAGGGAAGCAGGAACTCAGCTGCCTTCTTCCCGGAAGGGTGGCCTGGGAACTCTTGCCTGGGAGAAAGTCCTGAGTCTCCCACCTTCACCTCTCCAACTTTTCCAGCCTAGGGTAGGGCCCCTGGTCCAAAGCTGCCTGCTGGCCTCCCCAGCCCTCCCAGGCCACTCAACCAGGCCACCCCCCTCTTCCTCACAGAGCACAAAGATGCTGTCAGTGACCCCCTGCAGCAGAGCCCTGGCCTCAAGTTAGGGGAATCCATTCATCTTCCCAGACTGCTTGACCTTTGCTTGGCTGGGGAGTTGACCTTGAACCCCACCCCATCCACATTCCCTCTTGTCAAGTTCTGCCCAGCTTGCTCAACAAACAATAAATTGCCAATTAGGAGGCCATGCCAAGCTGGAGCTACCCTGTCATCTCTAAAAATGACAGGTTCTTTTACCTGGAAGTTTGGAAGGATAGAGGCCTGTTGATACTGGGGTGGAGGGCATGTGAGGGGCTGCAGGGACTGGAACAGGCCTTCAAAGTCGTTCAGCAGAGCCCTCAACACACATCTGTGCTCGCCCAGTCTCCTGAGCAACAATACTGCAATCCCTCCTCCCCGCCCCCCACCACTACACATTGATTCTTGGCATCAAGTTAAAGATCCAGTCTCATCCAAGGGTAGCCAGCAACCTGGCTCCCAACTACCTGAGAGTCACAGTCTGTACTATCACTTGCTGGACAGAGGGCACTGTAGTGAGCCAGTCCAGCCAAGCTGAGCACAGTTCTAAACCTGCACATTTGGAAATGGAAAACCCAAGAGGCCAATTAGAAAAGGAGGTCCTAGTTTTCACAAAGATGCTACAGGAACCCAGAGGACTGGCTCCAGGAGCCAAAGTATGCTACCTCGGCCACCCCAGCTCCTACCCCTCTCCCACCCTCAGCCCCGAAACAGCACCTTGAAACAGTCCTGGAGAGTGCCTCACCCCCATCCTGAAAGCAATGTTCCCTGGCCTAGGAGAATCCAGGCTCCCCCCTTTCCAGAGGTCAGCCAGGGCAAGGCCCCAGGCTGGAGCTGAGCGTTGAGGTTAATGAGACTGGAGAGAGCCCGGGTGTGGGGGCAGCCAGGTGCCCCTGCTTCCTGCCCAGCACTAGGGCGAGAGGGAGGGAGGCCCTGAGGCCTTGAGACCAGGATCAACCAAGTGGGAGGGAAGGGGCGAAGGTCAGCCTCCCTGTTCAGGAGGGCTATTCCCAAAAAGGCTGTGAGAGAGGGAGGTTCCCTGTATGCACAGGCCTGTCTTGTACACTCAAGCCAACAAGCACTGAAGACAACTCATGAGCCCGGGGCCCTCCCAGGGCCTTGCTGTGCGTGGCTTCTCTAGCCCTTCACCTGTAGGCTGTTCCTCCCCAGTAGAAGGTTCCTTGGCTGTCCTGTAGGTACGGAAAAGGACAGTAGTGCCCCACAGACACTCCCTCCTAGACTTACATTTTTACCCAAAGCTGACACTCTCTCCCCATGGGGCCTTTTTCTGGAACTATGAACCAAGCATCTCCTCTCCAATTGGGCTAATCTCCCTTGGGAGAGCCATACAAGAAGGCAGGGCAGGTCTGGGTTTGGGTAGAGAGTGTCTAGTCTAATCTCCGTGCGAAGAAGCCTGGACCTAGAGCAGAGCAAGTGACTTAGCAATGGCCATACCACCACCCAACCCAGCTCCACAGATGGGAGGTAGAAAAGGATGCAGAGACCTTGGAGAAAGCTAAGGGGGGCATCTAGGCAGCCAGGGTCCCCCAAGCTAACATCCTTCCAACATCCTTGCACACATCAAGAGGCTCTGTCTGGGGTCCTCCTGACTGAGTCAGTATGGTAGAATCTGTTGGATTGCTATTGGAGGGAGGGCAGGCAACATACCTCGTGGCAAGTGTGACCTGGGACTCTCAGCTGGCTCTCCTGACGCCTTTGTGACCACTGTGGCTACATGGCAAAGTTCAGACTAGGTCCTCTTGCGCTCCCTGCTGGCCACAGAGCAGACCTGCATGCACTGGCAAGACCCCCTCTAATGCCCTAGGCTGAGTATCCTTGGGCACAGAGACATTCACATCCCTCTGGGCCATAGACCTGAGGCCCCAGGGGAAGGGGCCCCACTCTGCTTCAGCTAAAGAGCTTGTTTTATGGAGGTAGCTGGAACATCAGCATACCTGATGTCAGGGGCAACCATGAGAAATTAACACCTGGGATTCAGCAGGCCCCAAATTCATATTCAAGGCCCTTTTCCTTATGATCTTGGCAGTCATCCCTGGCCACTGAGAGCCACTGTTTGCTACTCAGAAGGTAAGACGAACATCCCCTGCCTGTTAGCAGAGAGGTGTGGTGATCTACTAGTACAAGGATGGCAAGATGGAAAGTCACTGCCTCTCTCTCTTTCTGTCTCCCTCTCTCTGCCTCTCCCTCTCCCTTCCTCTCCCTCACCCTCTCCACTTTCCGCTCTTTGCTCTCTACTAGAGAAAGCTTAACAGCTGGGCAGACCTGGGCACCCAGTTATAGTTACTTCCTTGAACCCAGCTCTCCTACTCCACCTATAACTCAGGGGTCCCTGAGGATTTATTTAGTGTTGTTTGAAGGTAAAATTTTGGGCCTTCTGTAGAACTCAAGAGCTTGGTCTAGAGATGATAAAGGTGATATAGTGTCTATCATAGCTAGATGTGAACTGTGTGTAAAGATGATGAGCATAGAGTCAGCTGGGCCTGGTATCACTGGCCTGTGATCCTGGCTAATTGGGAGGCTGAGGCAGGAGGATCACAAGTTCAAGGCCTACCTGGGCTATAAAGTGAGTTCAAGGTCACGCTGCACAATTTAGTGAGACCCTGTCTTAAAATGTAAAGAGGACTGGGGACACAGTTCAGTAATAGAACACTTGCCTGGCACGCACAAAACCCTGGGCTCAATCTCCATTACTAGGGAATGGACATGAGAGTATAAAGTGGTCCCCACTGTGTTGAGGAACTTAAACTGGACATGGGGGCAGTAAAGGGTCTCACCAAGGTATGGAATCATGAAGCCATGGAATTGGATGGTGATTTCAGGTATACAATGGTTTATACATACCAGGAAGCTAGGATGGAGGAGGCTAGGCTAGGATGGTGGTGGCCCTCAGAATGCCAGGCTCATGAGCCCAGGAGTCCCACCCCTTTTATCTACAACCAATGGAGGCTGTGAAATTGGGAGCCTCATTATCCAGCCCCAAGTGCTGGGGGGTGGGGGACACCAGCAGAGAAGACCAAGCATGGAGGAAGAGGGTGGGAGTCACTCTAGCCTTCATCAGAAGAAAGGAGGGCAGACATGTCCTGTAAGACAGGAGGGGAGAGCGACTGGGCAGGTGCAAGATGGGCCAGGTGGGAGCTGCAGTAGGAGTGGGGTGTCAGGGGTCCAGATCCCCCATCCACAGCACCATCTTTTAGCCAAGGGAAGTGCAGCATCTCCTACACCTTCCTGCTGTAGTGTCATGTGGGATTCAGCTCATGAGGCAGGAGCTGCCCCCTTCTCCCAAGACAACAGGATTCACCCACTCTTGACCCCTTTTGTTACCGACTGTCATGTCCCAGTCCCCCTTCCTCGTGTGACCTTGTTTCACCTCCTCCTGTGGATCTGATGTTCCCAGGGGAGATGAGACATTGAAGGTAAAGGAGGATAGCCCTGTCCATGCATCCCAGAAAGGCCCCAGCAAAGAAATAGACACCCCACAATCCCAGGGAAGCTTGGAAAGAATAAGACCCCCAGATGAAGGGAGAGAGGAGCCCATGTCTACCCCAACATGCTAGCAAACATGCTGGGATAAAAAATGGGGGCAGAGTGCCAGGCAGGGATGGGAAGGAAGGTATGCAGTAGGTAAGTGACCAGCAGCTACTCCTGCCTCAGTACTGAACTCCAGGCCCAGCTGGTAGAGGCAGGAGGATCAGGGATCAGGAGTTAAAGGTCATCCTCAGTGACATATTCAGTTCAAGGCCACCTCCTGGCTAGACTGCTATTCCCCTGATTCCCCCCCCCAAGCTTTCTTTCTTCCTCTCCCTCTCCCTCTCCCCTGCCTCTCTCTCTAGCCTTTCCTGCTCTAGATAGATTTGTGACTTGGGTCCTACTGCAAGATTGTGTCACAGAACTGAGGGGAGTGGCCCACACGGCTGCCACCACGATGGGATCCTCAGAAGCTCTGAGGGATGGGTGGCTGCCCAAGCTTGCAGGCCATTCTCACTGCCACCCTGCAGCCATAGCCTGGAGTCTCTCCTTTTCTCACAGTTTCTCTTGTTTCTCCGCCAGGGAGAACGGGGCATGCCGGGGATGCCAGGCAAGCATGGAGCCAAGGTACCCACCCTTCAGATACCCTGCAGAGCCCCCAAGGCCCTGCCTTTGCACCATTTCCTCTCGCCCCAAATTTGGGACTCCCAGTTTCTTCTTGGGTTTCTCCTCACTGAGAACATAGAGTGTACACTTCCTCCCTCAACCCTCCTTCCTTTCCATAACTATCTGTCCTTCCAGATGTGGGCAAGATGGGGGCTTGTGTGATGTGGCCCGTGAGCCCTCTCTCCTCAGTGCTCTCCTGTTGCAGCCAGGTCTCTTCCTGGGGTATTTGGGTTAGAAAAAGTCTTCTCAAGTTTCCATTGTAGTCCTGAGACCCAAATAGGCCGTAAGGATCCTATTTTTAAGTGGCACTTTGAGTGTCATTTTCACCTCACAGTAGGTAGACTTGGGGAAATATGAAAATGAAGTTCATAAACCAGGTGTGGTGGTGCATGCCTGTAGTCCCAGTACTTGGGAAGTAGAGGACTGGGAGTTTAAGACCATCCTCGGCTACATATCTAGTTCATGGCCAGCCTGGGCTACATGAGCTCATGTCTCTCCATGGGGAGATGGCTCAGTGGGTAAAGAGCTTGTTGTACAAGCATGAGGACCTGAGCTCAAATCCCTAGCACCCACGCCTATAATTCCAGAGCTGAGGGCTTACTGGCCAACCTAGTGATGAGTTCGAGGTTCAGTGAGAGATGCTGTCTCAATAAATAAGGTAGAGAGCGATAGAGGGAGACACTTGACATTAACTTTTAGTCTCTAGTGCATGCTTGGCTGCGCGTGCCAACATACGCATGTAAGCATGCATACAAATACCACACACATGCACACATATAAAGGGCAAAAAAATGAAGTTCACTCCTAGCATCCCAGTCCATGAAGTCAGAAGTCTAGAGAGCCATGAGAGGTAACTCCACTTATACACCAGGTTGCAATGTGCTTTATAAAACCAGCCCTTTCCTGTGATGTCACCTGTTAGTCTCACCCCTACCCTTTGACCACAGGGACCTCCCCTCAGCCCCACTGTCCCCAGAATGCCTCCCAATGAAGTCTGGGGATACAGCAGGTAGGCAGCCCATACCTCGTCCTCATTCTTGGTGTGTCCAGCTCAGCACTCAATTCTCCCATGCCCTGGGAGGATACCGGGCCATCAAGCCAGCAGAAATGCATGGTCTCCCCTAAGGCCAGAAAGAGCTGGGCTCTGCACTACAGGAGGTCTTCATGCCTCTTTTTCTCTCTGCCAGGGAGTTCCGGGGATTGCTGTAGCTGGGATGAAGGTCAGTGGAAACTGCCATTCCATGTGTCAAAACAGGATGGGAAGATGGGACGAGACCACAGAGCTGGGGTTTAGGAGCTCAACAGCATGGCCATTGGACCAAAAAGAGGACAGAAAAATATCTAAAAGCAACATTTGTGCAATACTCACTACTTTGAGATAAATATTTCAGCCAGGTTTCCAGCCTCCACTCAGTGCCTCTCTGGTCTGCCACCAAGGAAAGCCCACTCTCCCAAACTCCAGAACCAGTTGCCATGGGCTTCTAAAGCCTTCTAGAGAAGGGATAGCCAGCATTTCCCTGAATCCCCTAACCAAGCAGGGGGGAGGCACCCCACAGAACAGGTACCCAGTATATTTTCCTAGCAGTTGTACTCATAGGGGTGAGGGAGGCAAGCACTGCATCCAGACCACAGGTTCACCTGCCCTCTTTCCTTCTGGGGTGCTCACGGAAGGAAGCACCTGCCTGCTCATCCTTCTAGGGGAAGGATGAGACCCTCAGGGCAGCCTGAGGTGGGGCTCTCTGCCCCTGCCTTGCACCCAGAGGGCCCCTGTTAATGATTTTTCTCTTCCTTTCTTCACCCAAATCTTCTTTTCTTCCCACACAGGGTGAGCCAGGGACCCCAGGAGCCAAGGTATCAGTGCAGAGGGAATCTTGTGGGCTGCATGAAGAAATAAGATTGGCTGTGGGGTGGGGATGACAGGAGCTTCCCTGAGGCCATTAAGGAGCCTGGCGGGCCCTCTCATCAGGAGCACACAACCAGGGCTTTCCTGTTTCCAGATCCTGGCCTGAATACATGCCAGCGCCAAAGGGGAATATCTACTGTCCCCTGTACTTTTGGAAGTCTCTTTCTTATCTAGGCTCATAAGAGATACAGCATGAAAGAAATTTCCATAGTCAACTAATCCTGAACGATACTGGGTTAAAATATGAAAATTCAAATTAAAAAATATTTCAGAGTCAGGCCTGATGGTACAGGCCTGTAATTCTAATTATTTGGAAGGTTTAGGCAAGAAGATCACAAATTCAACCAAGGCTACAAAGTGAGTTCAAGACCAGTCTGTTGAATTCAGCAAGACCTTGTCTCAAAATGAATAATAAAAAGGACTTGGGATATGGCTCCTTGATAGTGCACTCATGTAGCACACATAAGGGCCTAGGTTCAATCCCCAGTACTGGAAAGAAAATAGTCACACGGGTTTCATTTTGGTCTTTTCTGCAAGCCTTGGGGAGATAGACGGGGTTTGATAAACTGAATGTGAACTGAGAAATCTTAAAAAGGCAATATGTTATTCAGCATTTTGAAAAATGTTTTACCACAACACCCCTTGTTTAAAAGGAGCTTAAGGCTCTGAAGAGATGGTTCAATAGTTAAGAGCACTGGCTGTTCTTGCAGAGGACCTGGGTTCAGTTCCTAGTACCCATGTGCCAGCTAACACCCATCCTAAACTCCAGTTCTAGGGGATATGATGCCTTCTCCTGGTCTCCACACATTGCACACATGTGGTACATTTTTATACCTGCAGGCAAAACACACATAAAATAAAAATAAATAAATTGGATTCTTTTCCACTGTAACTTCTAATTGAGGCTTCAATGACCCTATTTGCAAATCAGATTATTTTCTGAGGTTAGGACTTAAACATGGAACTTTGGTGGAACACAATTTGACCCATAACACAATCCACTCAACAGTGAAGGTTCTGGTTGGGTGGGGAGGGGGGCTGTGGGGGTCAGATGTGAACAGCAGAGTGAATGCAAGGAGACCTCCCAAGTTCTGGCTTTCCCTCCCCTGGGGGACCCAAGTAGGGTCTGAATAACCCTGGTCTTGGTTGTGGTCTGAGGCCAGTGTTGCTTCTCCATCCTGAGTGCTGAGGGCCACAACAAGATGTCAGCCATCTCCCACATGAAGCGGCCAGGATGAGCCAGTCAGGATGGAGGTCTGAGAAGAAGCTGGGACCCAAGAAGGGGCCAATAGACAAGGGCCAGGAGAACAAGACGCTAATAAAATAGGCTGCTGCCTCCCAGCGTCCTGCAGAAACAGCATCTAACCTGCCCTTTTTCTCTCTCTGCAGGGTGAGAAGGGGGCTGTGGGCTCTCCTGGGCTCTCTGGCCTCCTGGGGCAGAAGGTAAGTGGAGACCAGTTCTTAGTGGTGGACTCTCTGTAAGCCTTAGTGTCCCCCTGGCATCGCACAGTTCCAGCATTGGAGGGGTCCTCCTCCCAGACTAGGGCAGGGTGACTGGAGCACAGCCAGAGTGGGGGGAGGGGTGCCAGGTAGACCAAGATGGCCCACAAAATGTCTCAATTCAAAGAACAAATATATCTCTCTCTCTCTCTCTCTCTCCTCTCTCTCTCTCCTCTCTCTCTCTCTCCTCCCCCCTCCCCCTCATTATGCAGCCTTGACTGGCCTAGAACTCATTATATAGACCAGGCTGGTATGGAACACATACTCTCACAATGATCTACTTGCCCCTGGCCTTTGCCTCCTGAGTGCTGGAGTTAAAGGTGTGTGCCACCACACCCAGCTCCACCTTGGTTTTTGACAGGGTATCTCTCTAGGACCTGGGGCTTGCCTTAAGCTAAGCTGGCTGACTAGTGAGCACCAGGTCTGCACCTCCCCAGTGTTGGAATTATAAGCACATGCCACCAAACCCTGCTTTTCACATGGGTGCGGGGGATCCAAACTCAGGACCTTATATTTATGAGGTGATCACTTTTACCAACTAAGTCATCTTCACGGGCCCTTTAAAGTCATTTTAAAAAGTTAAGCCATTTTAACAATTATTTATTTAATAACCACGTACTTAGAAGAATCATTTCATTACAACAGCATTGACATATTTAATAACAATTTCCAGAGCTAAGATGCATCTCTTTCAAAATTGGCTGTAAATTTTTAGGTTTACAGTTGAACCATTAAAGTTATACAATATTGTACTCAGTATAAACCCTATAAGACAAAATTAAATGAGGTTTTAAAGGTAGGACTGTAGGACAAGGGTATTATTAAGGGAGAAAGGGAGAAATGGAGGCACCTTAAGTGAGGAAAACCATGATGGAGGGATGAGACAATGTGAGAGATAAACAACGCCTAGCTAGTTTTAAAAAGCAGAGGGAACCATATTACTCCTATAACCTACTGACAAATTGTACATAGCACATCAAGAAACATATGTGTAGGTAAGTTTTATCTGAGAACAACTGGTCTTTGCCCAAGATTTATCTACATGGAACACAGTAATTCAAAGTACCAGACTGGTGGAACTAATCTTCTTGGATGTTTAACAGACATACTTTGGGGCCTATAGTAATTTGCTCAGAGGGAGATGAAGGACACTTTTTGCTCCTTGCTCTCCTAGGTCAACTAGTTCCAGGGGACTATGAGCATCTCTCAAAATGTCCTGTAATAGTGTTGGGTCACCTGTGCTCTTGATCAAGGAGGCCGAGGAGATCCCACCAGATGGACTTGAACCAGTGTCCAGCCTACAAAGAGGAGGGTCAACACAGAGGAATCATTTCCTCCA